CTATTTATTATATCATATAATTTATAGGCCTTAATATCGGGTGTATACCCTAAGAAAACACATTTTAAAGTCCTAGGTTCAAACTTGTCCTTTCAGGGGTTAATATTTGTAGTAAAACATAGGTAACCGAAGACTTTTAGGTTTGACTAATCTGGCTATTTTTTGTATAAAATTTCGTAAGGAGTTTTCAACTTTAAAACAGAGCTTGGCAAAACGCTTATTATGTGTGTGGCTGTGAGTATGGCTTCGTCCTAAAATCTTTTTGGTAATTTTGATTCACACATCAATGCCCTAGCAATTTGCAGTAGGTGTTTATGTTTTCTTTCTACTACACCATTCTGTTGTGGTGTGTATGTACAGGTTTTTTTATGCATGATTCCCCTTTTTTAAAAAATATTTTTGCATAAAGTGTTTATGAACTCAGTGCCATTGTCTGTCCTAACTATTTTGATTGTTTTTTGAAGTTGGTTTTGTATTAGATTGCAAAAACATTTTAAGGTATTTGGTACACTCGTTTTCTCTTTTAATAAATAAGTCCAAGTGGCTTTTGAAAAATCATCAACTATGGTTAAAAAATAGAGTGCACCAGAAATACAATTGATTGGGTATGATCCCCAAAGGTCAACGTGTATCAAATTAAAAATGTCATTGATATTGATGGAACTTTTAGGGAAAGACAAATGTTGTTGTTTTGCCAAGGGGCATATTTCACAATCATGTAAAGCTGCACTGCCTGATAACTTTAGATTGCGGATGTGAATCCATTTTTTTGTGGATGTGTGGCCGAGTCTTTTGCGCCATAGTTGTAGGTTGTTTTCTTAGGTGTGGCTAATGCATGCTTTTTTAGAGTCTATGTCTACACTCAAGGTGTACAGGCCCTTTATTATTGTTTCTTTCCTTAATATTTTGTTAGTTGTCAAATCCTGCATAAAACAATGGTTGGGATGAAAGGAAATATAAGTAATTGAGGCTTGGGTTAGCTTTTTGACAAAAATAAGGATAAGGTTATAAGTAAATTTTGGTATATAGAGGATATCCTGCATAATTAGATTATCACATAGTTTTATAGTTCCTTTGTGGGTTGAATGACTCGTGGTTCTGTCTGGTAGTGAGACAGACACTATAAGTTCTAGTTTTATGGGTTTTGAAAACATTTTAAATCATGTCATATGTGTGATGTGACACCTATATCTATTATCCAAGTTCCTATATCATTAGAGGCATGTAAAAAATAACATTTAGGTTGCTTACTAATGGGGCCAGAGTAGCCCACGCATCCTGTCGACTCTACCGTGTTTGCTCCTTAGTTTTTCATGTACTTGTTGATCTTTTGTTGTATGAATGTAGTCATTTCTGTGCCCCAATTTGTGTTGGATAATTTTGTTTTGGTGCCATCAGGGACATTGTTTGCCACTGCATTGGCTTTTTTTTGGTTCCTTTTTCTTTTGAGTTATGCAAACCAGTTTGGGTAGCCATGTAGCTTGAAGCATGTGTCCTTCGTGTGCCCTGTGTTTCTACAATAAGTGCATGTCCTGCTATCTTTTTCCTTTTTTCAGTTTGAAAATTTTGGATTGTCTTTCAGGTTGGTGTAAAATGCAGCGAGTGTCCCTTCAAGTGAGTTGATATTGTGTACTTCTCTTTATTTTTCAATACTAATCACCTTAGAATAAGCTTTGTTCACAACGAGTAAAAGTTCTATGATCAATATTTGGTTTTTGATATGATCATATGAGTCATTAAGACCCATTAAAAATTTGATCAAGTTGTTGGTATTATTTATTTCACTGTGTTGTGTTGCAGCATGGCAAGTGCAAGCAGGTGAGGACACTTAGGCAAGTTAACTCATCCCATAGCCTTTTGAGTTTTGTATAATAGACTGTAACAGAAAGATTAGACTATGTGATGGAACTTATTTCACGTTTTAATTTATACAACAAAGATCCGTTACTTTCACCATACCTTTTTTTTATTTCATCCCACAGGTTTGTTTTGCTGATGTGGTGAACAGGAAGGCGCTAGCAATCTCTTTGTTCATCGAGCTTAGGATCCAGGACACCACCATGCTGTCTGTTTTGTGCCATTGTTCATATTCTGTTGCATTAGTTCGGATTTTTTGCATCTGCCATCAATGAGAGCGAGCTTGTCCTTGGCTCTGAACGCAATCACCATGGCTCGGCTCCAAGTCAAATAGTTGGAGTCATCAAGGGTAGTTGTGACAAGTTGCATTCTAGGCTAATCCGAGTTTAAGAGTGTCAATACATCTGTTTTAGTATTTGCCATTTAATAGTAGAATAATAGTGTAGTGTAAAAATTAAAAAAATTAATGTTTATTATAGGCACTGCTCTAATACCATATAAAAAATGCAACCAAGTCAAAATGAAACTTTTAATGTTCTTTTGATTTTCTGTCTTATTTATTGTGTGAAAGCATTGAAAATATATACACATGTAGGAGAGTAAAAAAAAAAAAGGAAAAAGTGGTGTAAAGATTCTACTGAAACCCTAGCTGTCTCAACAATCCAATTAATTTTAAAACAGAAAAAATATTAACCATTCATTTTAGAGTTTTGACGTGGGCGGTCCGGCTGTCCATTTCCTTTTAGTCTCTCCTTTTTTTACTCTTAATTCTTTTCGAAGGGTGTAGGCCGAGCCTCCTTTCAACCGTCGTGAACGCCGTCGCGACGAGAGGTAGCCTTCTTCGACGTTAATTCCGTTTCCTCCATTTTGTTACAGACCAAGCTTTGTTGTTTAGATTATTCTGGACAACCTTGGATGTGTATGGTGTGTTTGCAGGATTGGTGAAGAAGAGGAGAACCAGCCAATTATCTCATCTGCGATCCAGGGAAGCGTAAGAAAACTCTGAAACCTAACCTTCAGATCTGTAGTTGAATGCATATGTTACTTTCAAATATGATTTGGTAGTGGTCTGTTGTCATTGGTGTGATCAACTGTAGATGTGGAATGATAAGTAGGTAAATCAGTATAGGGAAGGCAGAAGAAAAGAAGAAATAAGAAAAATAATAGAAATAAGCGTTACTTAAAGTTGCAGCAGGTCCCTGACGGCGTGAGGCCGATCTGGGAATTCTGGCAGTAATACGCCAGCACTGGAGACGGTTTTGTTTTGGTTGACGTTTGGGTAGGCCAAGTTCTGGAGGAAATTGGATTGGTTTGGAATTTTGTATGGGTTGAATTTCTGAAAAAAAAAAAAAAAGATAAGAATCACTGGGTTGAATAATGGGTTAATTTTGGTAAACCTGATCAGATGCATAGGGAGTAAATTAGGATTTTGAGCTTATGTTATTCTATTATCAGCAAACAGAAACTCCTGTAAGCTAGATAGTGAGCGGCTTCTAAGGGATAGTTGTGATGTAAATAACTGAGAGGAAGTCCTGATTTTAATTAACTAGGGATATACATATACATATAGGTATATATATCCACATACCACAAGAATAAATTAAGTGGTAGAAATTGACAGAAGGGGAATAAAAAGAGATAATAAGAGGTGAAGAATTAATATTTCAAAAAAATTAAGAGTTAATTTATAATATAACTAAAAGAAATCAAGGCATAACTGTGGAAAATGAATGCGAATGACTGAGTACTCTGTGATATGACTATGGACCCTATTTCGGGGTTTAGTTTCATTATGGATTTCGTTCTGGACTTTTGTTTTGGCTTTCGTTTCATATTTTGTTTTGTATTTCATTTCGGATTCGTTATGAATTGTGATATGGAATATATGGCATTCCTTGTTGGATGATTTGTATGTGGCTATTGTAAGTTTCAAAAAGTGAAAGTGTAATCATTAGCAGTTAGAAAATTCATTGGTGAGTAAGATCTGTAATTGTTGGACTAGAACGCGTTGTAAATGTGATAGAATATGTCTGCACTGGATGCCTTTAATTATGTACATTTGTGGTAGTTACGACATAATGATAGTACATATACAGTATAAGGGAAGTTGCATGTATTTTTCATTCAGTTCGGCATGTTAGGACTCATGAGTTTTCTTAACGAGCATCGTGTAGCTCATACTATTCTATCAATTTTAGAACAGGAGGACCAAGGACTGATCCAAGACCAATAGGAACAATAATTAAGTGTAAAAAGAGCTATGGGCAGGTGTTGTTGTCAATTTCTATAGATTTAGTATTTTGTACATTACATAGTTACTTGGTGTACTAAATGGATGCCATTCTTTTCCCTTTGTACACTGTTAGTGGTTATTTCCATGAAAAAGTATGAATTGTTAGAAGTAAGGCTGCGAAGATAAATGCTAGTTATCCGTAAAATTTTATGAAAATTTAGAGGTAAATACAACTCGTAGTTTTGTTTAAATCTTGGGTTGTTACAGTTGGTATCAAAATATACGTTCCTAGAAAATATTTCTTGTCACGAGGTTTAGGATTTTGTGGGGTTTGGAACCAAAAGAAAAATCACTAGAGATCTGAAATAAGTGGAAATCTTTAGAGGGTGGAATATAGCGGAATACGAATTTAGTTTGAATTACACCGTACATATAGAACTCATGTATAGTAGGAACCTTGTGAGTAGTTCTACTACTACTTCAGACTGTTGCCAATACAAGAATATACTACCTCATTGCTCTTTCATTCAAAAAGGACACCTCTCGTTTTCCCAACCTGTTGACAAAAACATGCTAGTTAGACTTGACCAACCACAATAAAAAAAAACAAGAAATTCAAACATCTTACAAGATCGATTTTCAATCAGGATAGCATGTACGAACGTCTGAAACAAAATTTTTAAACATGATATGGCCATTAGTAAATGCAAATGATCCAATCTAACTCAATCAAACCTTCAGTAGTCCATTAGACATAACAATCTATTCTTTCGAACACGACTGAACACACAAGTAAGGAATATGCCGGACAAGAAATCCTTCCTTCCTCCTAAATTTAAATCCCTAAGGAAAGAGAACTTCCTAAAGGTGTGTTCCGTAATCAAAACACTTAATGTGATAACCCCAAAATATGGTTCTATTTATTCTAAATGGAACATAAAGTTATACAATATCCAAATTTACCTAGATAAAACTCTGAAGTAAATACTATCAGAGTGGCACAGCGGAATTGTTGTAGGCCATAATCTATAACATATGATTTATATCTTAGAGCCACGCCAAAGGCTACCACTTTGAGATGTTCTTCTGTGATGAAGATCAAGCTTTTCTTGGCAGAGTCCCTTGGTTGGTTATGAAAACAAATAACTATTCCGTCCCATCTCTCCTCTTGATCCCAGAATTTGACAATGAATTGAGCAGATTATTTCCTGACAAAGGAACTGTTTTTCACCACTTGGGTCGGTATCTTTTTCACCCCTCAAATCATGTGTGGGGCCTAATCACCAGATATTACCAAGCTTATCTAGCCCGGGCAGATGAGAGAATTGGCATTCAAATAAGAGTTTTTGATGAGGGA